CACATAATACTTTATTTAGCTCCTTTTGTTTTATTTGCTGGTGTGATTTGATTTCCTTGAACCAAGATGATTTCTGACTTTTCTCTCTAAACGCAAAGGCAATATTTTCATTCCTACTTGATGATTTGAATACCAATAGCTATTTTGGGAGAATTCCAACAGTAAGAAGACCTGCATTTGAATTTTGGTTCTGCCACTTATTAGATGGTGCAAGATGAATTAACTTAATCTTTCTAAACCTATTATCTATCATTTGTAAAATGGTCTAATAACGCTCACCTCCTGGGCTTGATATGAAGATCAGTTGATATCTACATTTGAAAATGTTTAAATGTTTTCTGAATGTCAGTTTTCCTTACTCATAAACATCAACATTTTTTTGTACAATGTTGAAATTTTTTGTTAGATTACTTCAGTCATAAATGTGCTAAGAACAGCTAACCTTTTCACGCACAAAATGCATTTGTACCCACAATGAAAAGGCTAAAAGTACAGTCATGATTTAGAGCCAAAATGTATGTAAGCAAGAACTCTATCATTGAGAGAGTCATGATGAGATATATTGTTCAAGGACCTATATGCCATCTCAATCTTATCTTCAGATTTTCAGGTGGAGCTAAGTTCCTTTAGATTGTAACTGTGTCATATTTGTCTTTTTCTCCCCCTTTGGTTTCTAAATCAGTGCCTCAAGCATAGCAGGCACTTAATCATCACTTGATGACCAAGTTGAACTTCATTTCCATTAAGAACATATCACAGTTCTACCACTGTCACTGGACTGCTTTGGCACTAGGGGCTGCACAGACTGACCTTTCCTGTCTGCTTGTCCTGTGACCTCCAGGTTCTTGATTCCTGCAGGAGAAATTTCAAGATATGAGTCTAGGTGAAACTGAGAATAAGTTTATTAAAGCTTGGGACAGTGAAGCAAAGGAAGGGCCCCTGGAAACAGGGTCAGGGGGTATGCCCAGGATAAGCCTCCTCTGCCCACTGCTCTTCTGGGTGCAAGTCTCCTTGGGGCCCTTAAAGCTTAGGATAGAAAAAGCAAGTTCATGCCTGAGGAAAGGGGGTGAGAGTATGCTCAAAGAAGAGCCCATGCTGGCATTCTTTGTCCTGAGGGTTTTGTCTATTTTCTATAGGCAGGAATTTTAGGGGAGGTCCAAGGGGAGGATCTCAACGGAATATTCATTATATTTTTGGCTAGGTCTTTTAGTATGCTGATGTAAAATGAGTGTATTGGAGGTCTGGAGTCATTCTCTGGTTAGTTTCACCTCTACCTTGGATTAGCCTGACTATAATTGTTTTGTTTTACTTTTTTGTTGTTTTCCATCTCCCTGACTAAGGTGATTTACACCACCTGTTCTTGGGTCTCTTTGGTCAGGAACAAATTCCTAATTCCTGTTGGTGGCAGAGGGTAGGAGACCACAGTGTTAGAAGAATCTTATAGCCATCATGTCCATTGAATGGTAAAGTGTGAAAAAATAAAAATGGCCACACATTTCTAAACAAACACCATATGCTGTCAATCTGTTGTTGAGGAAAGGAATGCCATATTTAACCCCTAACTCAACAAAATTAGTTTCTCTCTCTTTTTGGGGGGATGGTACTATAAGAAAAATGTCTCATTCTATAATCTAAGTAAATACAAGAATGGTTCCCTTAGAACTTGAAAGAATGAAGTGTTTAGGGAAAAGAGATACAGAACTCCAAATAAGGCAATATTCTGAATTTAGTTCTCTGGTTTTGTTGAAAGATATATTATAAACTGTTGTTTGATTTGTCACTTTTAATTTCACATCACTGGTGCAAGGAAGTCTGGTTTCAAACAAGTCTAAAATGAATATGAAAAATCTATGGAGCCAGGATCATCTGTGAACAGGCTCATAAGTGCATGCCTGAAACTGATCAAGGATTTTCTTTAACATAGAATAACAATTTAATTTGCCAAATATATGTTTTTATTGATATTCCATATTGGAATAAATCTGTTTCATAAAGAAAAAAAAGTGCCATTCATTAAAGAGGTTTTTTATTATTTGTTTTTAGTTCAGGAGTAAAATTACATTAGGCCCACAGGACTTCGTGGTGTGACTCAAATTTTTATATTCAATAACCAAGGGTAGATGTATTCATCTTAACAAGGCCTCCATTGTGATTAAAATATCCTCTGCTGTAAACACTTGTTTATTTACCTGATTCTTATCTTCAGCTTTGATCTTCTCAAAGGCCTTCAAAAATCTTCAAAGATCCTGTGTTACGCAGCCTGTTTCCTAATCACATAGCACAGAAATCATCTTTGTAGCAATTTAATGACTATCTTCAGAATTGATATAGCTGAGAAAGCCCTTTATTCCCCACCAGGATACCTATAGGAAAATCACAGAAATACACTCTTAAGAGATCTACTCCGTCTCAGAAGTCACTCTCCCTCAAGGTCAGCTTTGCCAAGGCTCTTGCAGCTGTCTACCAGGCAAAGATAGGTTCTGAACTGCAGAAGAAAGGAAACTTTGGATTCTCCAGTAATCCCAGAGAGGTGGCTTCCCCTAGATTCCAGGGAAGATACTTTTCTTTTTTATTGGCCATAATCACCTGACAGGCTGATCGGAGCAGCAGGGGTTGGAGCACTAATGTGCACTGCTGGCCAGAAGCCAAAAATAGGCCCAAACGTGCAGAACATGGATCTGATGCATGATTTAGCAACATCTGTGGCTTTTTCATCAGATACATTAAAGGACAGAGAATTGGAAGCAAGTTTAGAAAGACAGCCATAAAGAACATAAGCACACAGTGCCATGAAGTAACTGAATATATTCCCTCGAGATTTTCTCCCCAGAGTCTAGCCAGGTGAAGACACTTTTTTTTTCTCAATTCTCTAGCACCAAAATGAATCTTGGTTTGGTAGACAGTGCACTACAGGGATTTAATAGTCTAAGGAGTTGCTGAGAACTCTGGAGAATGCGTTCATAGCATAGATATGAACAAATTGATTTGAGCCGTAATGGTTATGCTCTTAGGACAATGAAATTGTGATTTTTTAAACATAAAACATAGACTAATTGGTTAAAGACAAAGTTATTAATGTGATGCAGAAAAATATGCAATATCACTGTGGGAATTTAGCATACATTTTGATAGATTTGCAATATGAGACAGAGGAGTAGAAGCTCCCATAGTCTTAATATTTTATGCCCTAATTTCTTGTATCACAGTTTGAGATCATTAGATTTATTGCTTAAGTTAAAGTTTTTCAATATTTTTTCAACTCAGAGTTTTATTAATCTGATTAAAGTTTGAGTTTTAGATAAACCAAATCCAGCTAGTACATGAAATAAAAGTAATTCCCAGAGTAATCAAGCAGGGCTGCTTATTTTAATCTGCATTTAACTGCAGTATATTTTATCTAAATTCAGATGCAAGTCACATAACGCAAAGCAAGGAATTTCAACCTAAATTCTCAGGGGAATGCCATTTATTAGCATCTTTGAAATTAAAGAAATTTTTAGTACTAAAACTTGAACACATTAAAGAGGACACATTCTAGAATATATTCCCTTGAGCTTTTCTCCCAGAGTCTAGCCAAGTGAAGACACTAACCCATGCCTTTTGGGTTATAAGCCTACATAGCCTGTATTGTGATCAGCACAACTTTTTTACAAAAAACTTGGGGGTTATCTAAGAAGTTAGTATCTGGTTGGCATCCTCATTACAGCAGAATTCATACCGAGAGAGAGAGTTTCTTGAAAAGGCCACTGGAAGGTGCTTACCAGTCCCTGGGTTGTGGGGACATCACTCAGACTCCATCGACCTATGAACTATTCATTATGTACTTAGAATACCACTATAAAGTGTGATGTAGGATTCAAATATAATGTATGTCCATATGGCTGTGCTTTGTGAGGAATTTGAGGCAATGTAATTAATTTGGGTTGAAAAGACTTGTGTGCATAGAAACTGCTAGAGAAAATTCAAGAATGTTGGTTTTGGCTTTCTAAAGTCCACAACAATTTGGAAGGAAACATACAGAGAGAAAGAGAGAAGAGTCCTTTAAGGAGCATCGGAGAAAGAGAGATAAGACTAGGTCAGACCTAAATGAGGAGGGAAGGCCTAGATGGCAGAGATAAAAGGAAATGATGACTCTTGAGGATAGATTCAGGGAAAAGGGAAGCAGGTGTGGGCATGGCAAGCACTGAGAAGAGAAAAGCTGTAACAGCCGATGTGAGGAAGTGAGAGTGAGGACCTCTGCTGGTAGTCTGGAGAGAGAGTATTTGGTAGTTCCTATGGAATCCAGTAAAAATGAATCTATATTAAGGCCCAGAAAAGTTAAAGGACTTTCATAGGCACATCCCTGAAATGCAGCAGAGACGAGACTCAGGTTTAAATACTACCCTTAATGCTGTGCTTCCGCCTGGGCTGTACCCGGCAGCAGTAACGTGGTGTGGACTCTGGACGCAGACCACCTTATCTCCACTGCAGGGTTGGCTTTCATGGGAGTTACCCAACAACACCATCTGAGTCATCTGGAATGGGCTATTCCAGCCCGTTTATCTAGAAACCATCAATTTGTGCTTTTAATGGACTCTTTTTTTCAAATGTATCTTTATTTTTGAAAGTATTACAGATACCCCTTTTTCCACATTGACCCCTTCTACCCCACCCCCGCCCCCACCCCAGGCCTTCACCACAGTTATCTGTGTACTCTTTCTTGAATTTAGCAGATGAGATGCCATTTTTGTGATGTGTTTAATTTTCTAAAATACAAAATAATGTGTAAATAGGTCATGCATAGCTCAGTTTGTTAAATAGCGCAAATAATTCCATAAGAACAGTCTGCAGCTGACATACAGCCTCTCCTGCCCAATATCAAATAGTTGTAACATTAGCATGCTATTTACTAACACCAGTGATCGAAACTGTCTATGGGTTGCCGTTACAACCCCATCTAAGATAAAAATGAAAATGGTGTTTATAATATATATTTACCTAGAGTTCATTTTGTCTTCTAGGCTCTTCAATGGCCAACAAGGAATTATTATTCAGAATTTTAGCACAAGATCCATTCTCACTGTTACCAATGTGACACAGGAGCACTTCGGCAACTATACCTGTGTGGCTGCCAACAAGCTAGGCACAACCAATGCGAGCCTGCCTCTCAACCGTAAGTAACACAGTGTTGCCAAAATGCCCCCATGGGCCTCTTGGCTCCTATCTCTCAGTTAAGATAAAACATAATAGAGAATGTTCATTTTAGGACTCAGCCTGATGTGACATGTTCCTTACACAGAGGAACTTGGCCCCAAAATAATATGGTTGAGAATTTTATAATCCCTATGGAAGTCTACATGTGCTTAGAAAAATGTCTCAGAGCTGAGAAAAGGGGAACAAATTGCATATATAATAAGATCCACTGAAAAATGTTTTTTGCCTGAAGAGAGTTGGTTTGGTGAGGTTTTGTTTGTTTGTTTTTGTTTTGTTTTTTAAAATGTATTCTGTGATCTTGAAACATGAATTAATTTCGGTTGAATTTACTCTTGGTTGGTTTTCTTTAGACACTCATCTTGAAAGAGCAAGAATTTCACATGCCATAAATAAAATGAAATAATAAATAAAGGATCATGTACAGAATATTTATCCATATAGAGAACCTTTTTACTCAAAACTGTATTTTAGAATACAACTTAAGGTTTTACTAAAATAAATACTCTATTTATAATGTACCTTAGTTCCTAACTGCTAGAAATGAAAACAGAAGAGCCAACACAAGGAGTTGAGAGGAAAGCAACCTATTGTAATGTTTTCTCCTGCAATTCATTTTAGTGCTTTTTAGAAGCTGAATCACCAGCAAATTGTTATAACCATTCAATATTCCTGATTTAAAAATGGAGTGTTTCTCAAAATGTTCAAAGGAGATGACAGAGAATACACTGTCTTTTCGGTTCCACAGTTAGCTGAATCATTCTTATCACATATATTTTTACTGAAACCTGATGTATATATTTATACTATTACCCTATGATCATAAGCTGTCTCTGAAAAGTGCAAATATTGTGTAGTTAATCACAGACATGATCATTTCCATTTTGGAGAAATGAGGATGGGATATATAATAGTTCTACTACTTAAAATATATTATAATAAGAAGTTTTATGATTTGTAAACTTTGAATCACCATGATTTAGGAACCTCTGATGTTAAATAAAATATATCAGTTTGTTGTTAATAAAAAATAACCACTTGAAAATGATTTGTTCTATATACACTTTTCAAACATTACTTCATTTGTTTTTCCAGCTTAATATTACTTAATATTTCTTACTATCGCCACTCTGAAAGAAAAACATTGCTCGTCATGCAATAGGCATATATACTTGCTTGAGTTCCATGAGAATGGTTTATTTAGGGTAATTATGAATAACATAAACCATTGAAAATATTATAGAGTAGTGTGAATTCCAGATTAATATAAATCTTGATAATTCTTTGGTATGTTATTAATATTTTATATGGTTTAAATATTCAAGAATCTGAAAGAATAACTGAATTAAAAAGGCAAGGTAAAGAAAAATTTAAGGCTTAATAACATATTAAGTTTTTGCTATTTAAATTTCTAAGTCACATTGTGATACTAAAAACTGAAGCATTAATGAAAGCAACAAATTAGGAGCAAATGTCACTTAGTTGTTTTACTCTGGCAACCTTAACACAAACATCTGGAAGTGAAACGCTGCTCAAAAGGCTTCTAAACATGATATCTTCAGAATGGACTTCAATGATTTCTCTCTCTCTTTGCCACTGGCTTCCTGTTTGTAAAAGTGCTACAAAATACTAGTGCAATTTGATTTACTTGTTAATAAAAACACAATATGTAAATAGTGTCTGTAATTATGAACATAGCCCTGGAAGTTTAAAGAAATATTCATATATAAGAACTCTTGTATGACTTCATCCGAAGATCTTATTGCACTAATCAGTCCTGTATACAATAATTATTTTTATATATTTTCATATTTCCACAAATTATGTTTGTTGAGAAGACAAGATCATATCTGATTATTTTATCCTTCATATCACCAATACAGTGCTTAATATTTAATAGGCAATCAGCAAATCTTTAATAAATAAATGAATTCAACATTGAATAAGTGATTAAAAGGGTAATAAATAAATGTCTGAACTGGGTTTTAGCTATAGAATGTACATTTGTAATCTCTAGATATACAAAATAATGTTGCAATGCTTATTGTTAGCTTACTGTGGACCAGATCCTACTCTAACCTCTTCATGTGAAATTTGTTCATCTAATTCTCATTCAACCTAAAAAGATAAGTTTTATAATTCCCTTCTTACAGATGAAGAAACTAAGATAAAGATAGATTAAAAGCTTGGCCAAAGTCAAATGCTTAATAAGTCAGTAAGTAACAAAGCCAAAGCAAAAACTTGAATCCAGGCTGGCTTCAGAGCCCAAGCCTTTCACTCCTACATTTCACTATCACGATGGAATAACCGGCGGTGGAGTGAAAGATACATTGTGTCATTTGCAACACACTCTTTGAAAGATAAACCTCTGCCTATAACATGTTTGTTCTTCTTGTAGTTTTCATCGACTTTTCTTTAATAATTTAGCGTGCTATTATTTAATTTATAAAAGCTCTTTTTGAGAATAAATGTTTAGATATAAAAGACACATGTCAGATATCAAATGTAAGTACATAAAGGTGAATGGGGTCAATGTTTGACTGAAAATGTATACAAAAATGAGACTCAGGGATGTTTAAACACATTTTTTATGGTATTTTGGTATTTTAAAACCTTTTGGAATGATACAGTTATCCAGCCCAGGCACTTGTGAATCTTCAAATTATGTGTGGGGAAAGGCAGCTTTCCTAAAATTTGTACCATGCTAGCTGGAGAGTGAGTGATGTGTCCCTTGATAAGAACCCCTGTGATATCTTTACAAGATCTATGAACGGGAAGGTCTTCAACTTCTAAACTGATCCAAGACTAGAAGCCAGTCTAAGCTGATCTAATATTGGCCTGTGAACTGTTCATTTTTTTTAATGTGTTATTGAAGATCAACCCATTCTATAGCTAAGGGATTATGTAAAGCTAACTCGCCTAACTTCTTATCGAGAAGTAAACCCCAGAGTCTGCCCCTATATACGTGGTGATATTTGGAACATGCCATGAGTAATCAGATCTTCATGCTTTCATGATTTGTATTTTTGAACAGTTAATATGCTTGAAGACAGGGTAATAAAACATGTGACTTACCTCGCATAGTGCTTATACATAGCAAACACTCAAACTGGTTGAGAATAGCATTTCAACAGGGCTTCAGCCTCTGGGAATCAGCTCTCCATCCATAACAGTTTAGGAAAAATCCTGAGGCTATTACTGTCCACTCCTAGCTTGGAATAACCTACATTTTCCAGATCACCAAGAAGACAAAAGGCAATAAACTATAATTTAGAGCTTTGTCATAACTAAGACCATCCAAAATGGAATGTATCATATTTCATTATGTGTATGTTTTACATAAAGAGAATCAAGAAAGTCTTGATTTGAACCAGTTTTACCACATCAGTTATGTGTGACTTTGAATAAGTTACCAAAGTGCCAAATCCTCAGTTAATTCACTTATAAAATGAGGACAATGATAACTTCCACCAGGATAAAAATTAAATGGGACAATGCATGTAAAGTGTTTATCCACTCATCCTATATCAAAGTAAATATTCAATTAATGTTAATTATTGTTATTATATCATATAACCCAAGAACACTCACTTCATTTCAAAAATTTATATATAGATGGCTGACCTTATTTGATGACTGACTGCTAGTACTTTACTGAGTGATTAGATGGGAAACCCTTACTGGCAAGCCAGAGAGAAGGCATGCAAATTTGAAATAATATTCCAACTCTAGCTTACAACCCCATCCCTTGTTCAGTGCATAAATCAGACTTTGTGGCACTAATTTCAGATTAAATACGATGTTTACAGCATAGAAGCTCAGACATCTAGGAGATCCAAAGAGTAAAGGCAGAACTGAAACAATTGTTCTATTCTGAGGCTCATACAATTCACTCAATAGCAATATTCATTCTTCAAATATGTATTTTGACTGCCCACAATGTGCAGAGCACTGTGCTAGATGCTGGATATTGGAAATAAAAAGATTAATATAACTGGAACCCTATCCTCAAAGAGTTCTGAGACAAATGAGAGAATGGGGACAAGAACACAGGCAGCTGTGTTGCAGTATAGTCAATGGTACTGTACTAGGGCAGAGAAGAGACTGATCATTCAGTCTCAGGTGTCATGAAAATACTGTCCTCTATATGTATCACTATATGCATTATAACTAAGATGCAGTTCAAATGCCATTTTAGTCATCGCTATCTCATTTTTAGAGGCAGTACTTGGCAGAATTTATTCAACAATTGTGAACACAATGAGAGAATCATCAAGTCAGTCTTAGTGATTCAGAGCAATCTATAGAGGAGATGACCCTTGAACTAAGGATGTGATTGGGTCAAGTCTGGGTGTTGGAATGGTGATGAGAGAGAGAGAAACAGAGAGGGGGGGAACTTCTCTAGTATGGAACAGATTTGACATGACAGTATGAAATAATCTGACACATTTGAAGACATGTGATTAGAGTAAAATGTGGGAGAAGAGGCTGTTAAGAGATGAGGCTGGACAAGTTGGTGAAATTAGGACAGGAAGGCATGCAAATAAATTTAGACTTTATCTTCCTGATTTTGGAGAGTGAAAAAGAAGAATACAAACGGATTTATTTTCTGAAAAATATTGTTAGGCAATGTGGAGGGCTAAATCCAGCTTATTAGATTTATAATAATAAAGGCAAAAGAAGATAATTGCACAAAAAGAGTAGCAGGAATGAGAGAGTTGAGAGGTAATTAGGAGAGAGAAGTTAATGAGTAGAGAATAGAAAGGGAATTGTAGCACTCTAGATAACTCCCAATCTGGAGAGAAGAGCAGGCAATTGTAGGAATCTAGGTAACTCCCAACATTTAGTTTGGATATTAACCAGGATAGAACACAATAAGAAGATTAGCACTTTTAAATTTGGATAGAAGGTAGAGATTGAAAGAAGAGAAATAAGTTCAATTTTAGACATATTCAGTTGCAA